CACATGACACATGCAATGATCACATTGTCCCATGACACATGCAATGACCACATTGTCCCATGACACATGCAATGATCACATTGTCACATGGCACATGCAATGATCACATTGTCCCATGGCACATGCAATGACCACATTGTCCCATGACACATGCAATGATCACATTGTCACATGGCACATGCAATGATCACATTGTCCCATGGCACATGCAATGACCACATTGTCCCATGACACATGCAATGATCACATTCTGCACACATTTTGTCACATGACAATATTATGTGAAACCACCGTGTTGGACGTGCTAGATCATGCTCGTCTCAGCCACACAATCAGGATGAGGTGATCTACCCCATGCTTTTGTGATGTGGGGAATTGAACATGCTGTCTGTGTGTGTGTGTGTGTGTGTGTGTACGTGTCTGTGTGTGTATATGTGTGTACATGTGTAGTGTATGTGTGTGTGTGTGTGTGTGTGTGTGTCTGTCTGTCTGTGTGTCTCTGTGTGTGGGGGTATGGGTGTGTGTGCGTGTGTGTGTGTGTGTGTGTGTCTGTGTGTCTGTGTGTCTGTGCGTGTGGGGTATGTGTGTGTGTGTGTGTGGGGGGGGGTATGTGTGTGTGTGTGTGTGTGTGTGTGTGTGTGTGTGTCCCATATGGTGCAGTGGTATGTGCAGCGATTACCAATCGATAGGTTGCGGGTTCGATTCCCGACGATTATGGTCACACACGTCTTCCTTCTCTTTCTTTCATTCTCCTGGGTGGTTACCAACAGCCAGTGCATGCCGGAGTATGTGGTGTGATGTGTGTGTGTGTGTAGAAAAAATTAAAAAAAGACCAAAAAGTAGGGATTCACTGGCCAGAAAAAGCCACTTCATAGCTGTGTGGTGTAGACCAGGCTGAATAGTGGCGGTCAATTCTTCAGCCTTGCAAGCCGTTGAATGGTGCAATCCCAGCACAAGTTGCTATGGCTTCTGCTGTAGCATCGCTATCATCGCCTCCGGCGATGGGCGTCCAATGGTCCAATGGTGTGTGTGTGTGTGTGTGTGTGTGTGTGTGTGTTTGCATTATGTACTGGTAGAGATCAATGAATGTACTGCAGCTGGGTCCGCATCCCCGTGTTATCCCCCGCGACAATGTCAAAATACTTTTTTCAGTTATGAGTGTGTGTGTCCAGGCGGCACAACATGGAATGGTGTGCAATGTCTCCAGGGCCCCTCACGTCTGACCACTAGCGTAGGTGAGTCGGAGAACGTGTTGGAAGACACACACACACACATTCGTTCACACAGGTACACACATGCACACACACTCATTCACACACATACACACACATACACATACATACACACACACACACACACACACACACACAAATGCATGCATACACACACATTATACATCTTTTGAGGCATCAAAAGTGTTTCTGCTGACACACACACACAGAGAGAGATAGATAGAAAGAAAGAGAGAGACAGAGAGACAGAGAGACAGAGAGAGAGAGACAGAGAGAGGGACAGAGAGAGAGAGAGACAGAGAGAGAGACAGAGATAGACAGAGAGAGAGACAGAGAGAGACACAGAGACAGAGTCAGAGACAGAGTCAGAGACAGAGTCAGAGACAAAGTCAGACACAGAGTCAGAGACAGAGTCAGAGACAGAGTCAGAGGTCGAGAGACACAGAGAGAGATACCTTGATGACCTAGGCAAAAAAAGCATAGGCACAAACAAGCAAACACGGAATTAAAGCTGTGTAGACCCTGGCTAGCGCCAGACGTTACTGAAGTAACGTCTTCTGCACAGCTACAGGAATAAAAAGAGTTTGTCAACTGACAACCCCTCTATTCAGTTGCGTAGGCTTCGTTCCAGCCGATGGCATAACAAACCTCACATGCAATGCTCTAAATGAGGTGCACGGTAACTGGAGCAGATTTCCAGCCTGCCAACGTACGTACAGTATACATACCATCAAGAGTCCATAACCCAAGAGTATGCAACTGTGATTATGGGTGCATGCGTGGCGCGCTGCCTTCATTACGTAACTTGCCTTCATCACGCTCTGGAAGCATGCATTCAAACTCTCAATTTCTCGCACGAGCCCATCCGTTTTTGCTCGATTCGTTCCAGTACCTACACAATCTCTGAATTCTGGCGCGTGAACTCCAGTTCCGTACGAAAGTTCATTTCAAACTAGAGGGAAAGTGCGGTGTTTGATTTTCCGCAGTGCGCGGCCTGCAGCTGAATGATGTAATGAAGGCAGCGCGCCGCGCGGTTGGCCCATAGAAAAGAGATCACAGTTGCATACTCTTGGGTTATGGACTCTTGATACCATGGGTGTCACAGGGCAAGGGAGAGGGGATACGAGTGAGGTCCGGGAAGTGTCCGGGAGGGGGTGGGCGGGGGGTATCGGATCTTTTGGCCACCAGATCATGTTTTCGCGCTCTACAGTTACTCTCGGCGGACCATTCTAGATGAAAAGTGGTATGGCTATGGTGGTATTGGTCGTACCATGTTTGACGCCCCTGCATACCCCGGCATGTGTGATCTCTGACTGCGTATAGAACATGCATGCGTGTGTTCTTCATTGAAGCTTGGTCCTGTGGATGGGCTGAACACTGCAGGCATTCCATGTTTTGATATTGGCGGGTGTTCATGCATGTCTATGACGATACTGGCAAAATCCTTGGACAATACGGTCAAACCACGATTCAAGGACGCAAAGTAACATTCCACACAACTTGTGTGTCTCAAAGATGCGAAGATCAATAAAAAGGGTAGCTACGCGACCAGGAATCATGCAAAACTGGACCCCTCAGTAAAACAGCACTGTACTTCGACTATGACAATTTGGATGGACGACAAGCAGCGGTAACAAGCAGAAGTTTCATACGACGATCGTTTCGCTGTATAGATAAGGACCTTGTTTCCAGTTACCCGCGGAATAGACAACAGTCGTAAAATAGCAATGAAAAATATCAATTGTGCACCATGTATAAACAATTAAAATGAAACAATTCCAGAACGTTTTCGTGTGACTATCATCAGTGGAACATCGTCACATAGTAAGAATCACTAAAAACAACCAGTTATATAGCTAGAGTAATATGAAAAGAAGCGTGAGAATGCAGCACAGCTAGTGGTTTTGCATAGCGCGTGTAGTGTGAACCTTTGCAGTGTATCTGAGAATGGTAGCAGTAGATGAATGTGGCAGCTGTGAGTGCGTGTGGAAAAAACTGGTGAGTGCGTATTATTTAAAAAGTGTGAGTGCTACAACATTTTCTTTTTGCTTGCATAGAACAGGGTCACGTGTGCGAATATATACAGCTTCCAACACCTGCAATTGCTTAAAGAAACATGCGGAACAAGTAACGCTTTTGACCAGTAAAGCATGTGATATATACAATATTTCCGGGTCTAACGGCACTTGCAGGCATAGAACAACACTCTTTGATGGTACATTGGAGCACATGCCTGATGAATCCAACAAAACAGGTACATAGCATGGAGTTAGCATGTCATGAATTCATTACATCTGGATTTTTACTAGGACACACACCGTACGATATTTAAAAGCCAACAAAAAAAGAAAAAGAACACAAGACAAAGGCATGCCCGCGGGAGGCAAGATTATAAGTTTAAGTTCATGATCGGCACACTGTGAAACTACACAATCTTGTATCTGAAGACTTCACATATTATTGGTACTACTACTTTCTTGTTTTTTTCCGGTCGGAGGCAAAAAGGTACGCGGGCGCGGACGTTAAACAACGAAAAATGAAAGGGTGGCCTAAGTGTGAATTAAAAGAGCACCTTTGGGAAAGGACTACCCCCACAACCCTTTTCTGGAAAATTTTGCCTGCATTTTTTAGTTGATCGGCAGGATGGAGATGAAATTTGGACAAATTTGAAAACGATTAATGACAGGTCCGTGGAAAATAACCAGAGAAGGCCCTTCTTCAGAGACTCACCGAGAAAAAAACATTTTTCAAGTTTCATCTCCACCTTGCCGATAAACTCCGGATGCACTCAAAATGTAGTGAAATTACCCCTAAAAAGTTGCCCCCCCCCCCAGCCACCTGAAGAATTCCCTAACATCAAGAGTCCATAGCCCAGGCTTATGTACTCTTGCTAACTTATGGTTTTTGCTCATTACCACAATACTCTTATACTCCCCAATCCGTTGCTCCCAAAAAATGGCAACTTTGTCCGGTACACCCTATCCTTGGTCATATACATACAGTTATCCCTTCACTGTAACTGAGTTTGATGTTTCGTTACATTGTCGACAGATCTCCTGTGTACCGGTTTTGTGGCACAATGATTATAGCCATTATTATGTTGTCGTCTCCATTCTTGTGCAATCATGCATATGTAGGTTGGTTCTCTTCATGTTATTGTGACCTATTTCATAAATGTTGGTTGCCTTGTTGCTTTCTCTCCCCTCTCATTTTACCCAAGCCATTCTGCATAAGCATACTGCTGCTACACTTCAACACGGGAATGCATATAATAAAAATAATAATATCCCTTCACTGTGCACAGTTCGAACCTCCCCCCCCCCCCCCCCCCCACACACACAACGGTCCCCACGATAGGCGGTCAGCCTTTGGGTCATCCTAATAAAGTTATAATTATTATTATTATGGTTGCCTCTTTGCTTTGTTATACCAAAACCATTCAAGGCGGTGAACCCCTCAATAGGCGATTTGCCTTTGGGTCATCCTAATAAAGTTATTATAACATTTTTTTCTGGTTCTCTTTTTTTCATCCATGTGTGCCCATACCTGCCAAATACAGGTCTCCGCTTTTGCACCCATATCACTGGTCATTCCCAGACTGGCTATGACTGGGTCATAATTGGATCTGTTTCAACCAAACCCGTGTCTTATGAGGTTGCAAAAAGTATGTGCACCAAGGAAAAAATGCAACTATTGGCTCCAGAGCTCAGCTGGTGTGCAACAACTGATGATTCTAGTCCCTATAGGGGTTACAACGCATGGCTAAAGTTTGAAGGATTTCCGGGTGAAAGGATTGTATCCAACATCGGTAAAGTTTCGATGAATACTCCAACCCTATATCGCGCTCTATGCTTTAAAGGTAAGTGCATTAGACAGTGACCTGTAATTTCGCAAGTTGCATTACATGCTGCTAACCAGAGGAGCAGAATGACACAGACATCATCATCTGCTTTAAACACATAGGAAAAGTACCAAAGGGAAAACACCTAGGGGTGAAACGGGTGATCCGGGTACCCGTTCGTTTAGCTGCTGATCCGTTAGCAAACGAGTACCCGTTAGTCGTGTACGACAGTACAGTACGGTGCTGACTTGCACAGTCGAACATCGCACAGTTCGATGTACAGTTTGAGCGTGTTGTTCTTGATCGATCTTGCTACATGTGACCATTTTGCATGTAGCGCAGTGCATGCAGTGTGCTTGTCACTCGTACTTGCATGTCATCCTGGCACGAAATCCGGAAGGTACTAGTAACTGTCGTCTCTAAAAATAGTTTCCAACCGCTGCTGGAACCGTACCGTCGAGACTCACCCGGATAAGATTCGTTGTTGTGGGAAATACTCTTCAGTGTTGCCTGTTGGAGCAAGTTTTGAACAAGTCGAGTCGTCTCCTTGTTTGTTTGTTTGAACTGAAGTGTTTAGGTTGTCTTTGCAAGTAACATTTTGCGATGTCGAACTCTGTGACTCTGTCCCAAGCTCCTTCGAACGCATCGACTCCGTTCAGTCGCCAGGCACGGTCCGCAGTGTGGAAATTCTTCACTCGCAATGTCGAGGGCCATCAAGCGAAGTGTTTATTGTGTGAGGATGTGGTGAAGTACGATGGCTCCTCTACATCGAACTTGCAGAGGCACCTGAAAAATCGCCACCCCTCTGACTTCGTGGAACAGACCAGCACTGCCAAGGAAGTGGACTCTCAGCCGACCATCGCGAAGTTTGCTCAGGCGAAAGCGGCCAAAGTGCAGGTTGTGTCGGTTCCTCTTGCAATGGCCATCACCAAGATCCTGGCACGGTGGACCTGGCTAGATGGGCGGCCGCTCAGCCTAGTCACGGACTCTGGCCTAAAGGAGCTGATGGATTTTGTTGAGCCCGGATATGTGCTTCCTTCGAGAACCCATATTGCTAAACTTGTCCGCAAGGATCACGCCGACGGTGTGACTCTCTTGAAGGGGAAGCTGGCCGACGTAAGCTATGTTGCATTGACCACCGACATTTGGACGTCCAAGGCAGCGCATGCATTCGCCACGACTACAGCGCATTTCGTGGACGCGAGCTGGAAAATGGCATCATGCACGTTGGAGACAACTGAGTTCCCTGGTTCCCACACAGGTGTTCGCATCAGTGAGCAGATAGAGTCCGCTGTGCGCAAATATGACGTCGATCCAGCCAAAATCTGTGGCATCGTGCATGTCCAGGCGGCGAACGTGGAATATGCAGGTAAGCATGGAACTACAACCATTATACTAATTAATTATTTTATAGAATTGCATTTTAGAAATGAGGGCCAGGTAACTAGAATGATAGTGGTGCATTTGACTTGGTGGACAGAGTGTGCAGTTTGAACAAGTCATGCTGCTAAACAGATGTATCCTTTACACATACATACATACAATAAATAACATACATACATACATACATACATACCAGACACACACACACACACAAACACACACATACCATGCATGCATGCATGTGGCAAGGGAACCAACAAAATAAAGTGTTGAAATATGAAAATTCATTCACTAACCGTAGCAAAAATGGAGCTCTTTGTCCCTTGTTTTTGTGCAACTCCAGGCCGTATCTTGTGGGAAGAGTTGAAATGGCCATCCCTTGTCTGTGCTGCTCACCGAATTCAAAATGCGTTACGAGACGCCCTGGATAAGAAGACCTTTTCAAACCTGTTTGCAAAGTGCCGCCACTTAGTTGGACATTTCAAGCATTCCGCCTTGAAAACTGGCCAGCTTGAAGATAAGCAACGTCTGGTTGGTGCGTTGGAAGTGAAGCACCTGGTTCAGGATTGTGCAACGAGATGGAACAGTGTGTACCTGATGTTGGATCGTCTTGTCCAGCTTAAAGTGCCTGTGCAGTTGGTCCTTGCGAATATGCCAGACAAAGATCGCCGCTCCATGGACTTGTCCGCAGACCAGTGGGCCACTGCTGAACATCTCCTCGATTTCCTGAGGTCGGTGGACCAGGTGACGACATCTTTGGGCGGTGAGCAGTACTCAACCCTGTCCTGGCTTCTGAAGTCCCATTGCCAGACCGGAGATAATGACGACCTGCTGGTAGAGGCATGCATGCAGCAGGCATTTGCGGATATTATAACTAGGCGCTTTCATTTGGTTGGCTTAGATGTTAACGGAGAGGCAGTGCTTGCTGCTGCGTTGGACCCTCGGTTTCGGGCTCTAAAGTTCCTCGACTTGGAGCAGCAACATGAAGTGCAGCAAACGCTCATCAGCTACGCAAGTGTCGGCTGCTCGCCCTGCACAGAATCTTCAAGCTCTAGCTCCGAGCCACCAACAAAACGCCGCTGCCTCCTGGATCAGCTGCTTTGCGACGACGGTGAGGATGAGGATAGCGAGGGATCCATCGAAGCAGAGGTAGCAGCTTATCTGGCTGAAAAGCCAGTCAAGCGCTCTGTTGACCCTCTGTTGTGGTGGAGCACAAATGCTGCCCGATTTCCCAGCCTGGCTCCACTCGCACGGAAGTACTTGTGCATTCCAGCAACTTCTGTTGCATCTGAGGGCGTGTTTTCCTTTCCTGGGCAGATCGTCGACAAGCGCCGGAGCAAGTTGTCGGCAGAAATGATCGATGCACAAGTCTTTCTGCACAAGAACGCCCACATCATCGATGTACGAGTTCCTGCGCCACCGAAGCCGGCCATGCCACTTGTCTTGGCTGCAGTCGAAGACGATGATGAACCTTCACTGCCAGATCTTCCTTCACAGCCAATTGAATTATAGATAGTTCATGCTCTCTCTCCCTGTGTGTGCGTGTATGTGCATGTGCGTGCGTGTATGTGTGTGCCTGCCTCTCTCTCTCTCTCTCTCTCTCTCTCTCTATTTCTCTCTCTCTTTCTTTCTCAAGAAGAAGATTCATTCTGGTTAGAAATGCGTCCAGAATGCCCGTAAAAGAGGCTTTGTGCTTACCATCATAACCAGTGACAATGCAGTGGCAATGTTCTTGTAAAAAGTGTATGGCTTGCTAAAGGGTACCCGATAACCCGCCCGTTAAGCCAGGTACCCGTTTGTTAGCTTAAAGGGTAACCGTTTCACCCCTAGAAAAGACCTAGGCCCATTTTCATGAATTGAAAGGGGAAAATATTACAATTTCATGTCTTCTAATTGGGTCGTAAGTACAATGTTCATTCCTGATGATTGCTCCATGCAACCTAGCTCGAATCATCTTTTTCACATCGCGCTTTCTTCTTACATGTTTTTCTCCTTTCCCGGTTTTTACATTGTTTTCACATCATCTCCATCTCTAGGCATTCTTTTAATAAAGTAATACAAAGTCACTTTAGCTGAAGGACTATGCTTTCCAATGGTTTTCATTTGCTGGAGCGAAAAGTAAATAATGGAGCGCCGAAGGTGGAAATGCAATTCACCCCCGACATACACGCCAAACAGTTTTGCACAATGAATTTTCGAGTGGAGATCCGCGGGGATGGGGACATTCCCTATGACTGACGAGTGCCAAGCTGAGCGCTTGAACTTCAAGAATCTGATTGAGTTGGATTTTTGCTCTGCGCTTAGTAAAACTATAGAAGCTAAACACTTTGTGACTGCATGTGGACACATACTACTGTGTGGATTATTTCCTAGAGGAACGATAGAGCCTCTCTCAACAGAGCGTGAAGGCAACTCTACTCCTCCTGCTGGGTGAGTATTCGTTTCGTTTGGACAGAGATGACTTCAAGTTTTACAACGAGCTCACGATTATCACATTCCGTTCCTGAGTGAAGTTACAGTCCATTTCAAAACTATAGACGCGTAGGGTTTTTGAAATATTTCAAATTTGGCTAGAACTTTGAGAATACTTTTCGGAATATTGCTCAGGTCCGCTTCACAATTCCTCTCATTATAGTTTCTAAACAATTGGATAACAGTCGTTGCGTTGTTCAACCGCGAATGGCTCCAGTCATAAAGCGCGGTCCGTGACAGGGTGACTTCTGGACCTAATTACTTGTTTTTCGGGACTTCTTTTCAATTGGTTCTCCTTGAATGAAACGGAATCAAGTTCACAATACCAGTTTTCATGAACACCAAAAAAGTAGCTTCGAAAGGTGTGTGAAATAATAACTCCAGGAAATGATAACACAGGTCGTCTGTCATGCTCCTGAACTGCCCCTAAATATCATAAGCGACATCGGACATTACCTTGCTAAAATTCAACTAAAGTCATGTTAGCCACTCTGCGAGTTATCATGGGAAGCGGAGTGTTCGAAACACTAACAAATTCCAAGTACAAATCGGGAGTAGTCGGAGCACGATGTCGTCTCCTGTTCACACTCAAAATGCAGCTGTTTTGTACGCTTGCATCCCCATCTACGCCCGTCCAGGGTATGAAAGGTTGGATCGACCCAAATCATCCCGTCGTGGTCCGCTCCATACCGTCGCGTTCCCATTCCTGATGTTCACATTGGACGCCGTCTGACTGTCCCGTCGCTTCCCGTCGATCCTTACGTTGCGTCCCGTCGTACCCCGTCGAATGTGAACTAGGCTTAACGATGAAAAAACGTTCCAACCCCAGTCCCCCCCCCTCCCCCTTCAGTTGTGGTCTGTGAAACCCAACACAAAATGCATATTAGTACTTCAAAAAGTATCTGAACATATGTACGTCCAGCAACATTTGTACAGTTTTTCTCTAATTCTTCAGTTCAGACTTCAGAAGAAGCTCCAATAAGTGGAACGAATCCTTGACGTGGATCGTGGCACACTGAACCCCCTCTTTTCGCCGACTTCTCGTGATTTCTGTCCTCAGTATGACAAGTTCCTGAAGCGCCTCTGTGGCGTGCATGCCAAAGCTGATTCCACCATGACCATGCCAACCCATGGTGTATTTAGCCGGCAAGTTAAGTCCCATTTCCACAGGTATTGATTCCATCCTCGAGGTTTTCTCACTTCCTGATTACCCCCCTTCTTTACCGGCCCACTTTCCGCTTGCTTCTACTCAGATTTCTTAATTAACCTCTTGACATTAACCTTTTTTAATCGTTTTCATCCTTTTGAAAATTTAACCATTTTGTTCACCTTTTTTTCACGTATATTTATTCTCGGAGACCCCCCCCCCCCTTGATTTAGGCTTCGGCCTTTGGGGAATTCCTCAAACATTAATGATAATACAGTGAAACCTGTCTAAGACGACCGCTCAAGGGACCTGCAAAATGTGGTCTCGAGACGGTCTCCTTATCCAGGGTCGTTTGGCTGCGAAGAGTTGCGTTCCATTCTGCCCGCCCCTAAGTTGAATTAAATTGAATTCGTTGTTTTCCATTGCTAGCCTAATCTTTATACTGCTCTGTCCAGGTTCCTTGAGTACTCCTTTTGTTCTGTTTTCTTTTTTTTTCTCCTTCTTTTTCTCAGTTGTCCCCACCATGGCTAGTTAAAATCGCCTGCATCACATGCTTATTTGCACTATGTCATCGTGATTGTGGAATAATAATAATAATATTAATAATAATAATGCAATGAATATAACTAAATGCGCACTCATATCACAACCATGGGGACGAATCATGTATTCCAGAACGTTTTCTTGTCACAATTATCAATGGAATTCGTGACTAAAGAGAATGATGAAACTACAATAGGATTTATACACTTGCAGTGGAACAGCGAGGATACAAGCATAGTAAGAAAAATAGCACAAACCTAGGAACAATTTGCACAGGTAATAAACTATAGGTGAGGTGAGAAATGATAGGAAATTCAGCAAGTGCAGTGTGACAATGGACATGCATGTGTAAGTGTGTGTGAGTGCGAATTTACTGGAATAGCGTAAGTGCGGTGACATTTTCTTTTTGTTTACAAAGATTTGGATCACGAATGCGAATGTAGACTGCTTCTAGAACTTCAGTACAAGTCAAACTTAGTTCGTAACCTTGTAAATAGTAACCTTGTAACCTTGTAAATAGGGCACAACGCATTTGTTCACCAACAAAGCTACCAGGAACTTGATTTTCTACGCTCCGTATTTGTGAAGAATGGCTACCCGCAGCAGCTCCTCGACAAACTTCTAACAACTACACCTGTTGTTAAGGAACGAGCTATCGGACCGTTGCCGTGCCGCGTATTTCTTTGCTTGCCCTGGAAAGGGAAAGAATCGAAGGACACGGCCCGTGTGGTGAAATCCCTAGTGGAGAAAACCTACTTTGCCACCAATGTGGTTACCGTGTTCACTACGATCCGTTCGTTCACGATGTTGAAGGATGTCCTACCAACCCTACAATTGAGTCACCTCATTTACTACTTTGAATGCCGACAATGTGGTAGTCGGTATGTTGGTAGGACCCTTCAACATCTGTCCGAACGTATCAAACAACACGTGCCGCTCTCAATATTGTCACAGGCGGCTAGGTCCTCCCGACCAAAGCGTGGCCGACCACGTAAGCACCCAACTCCACTGTCCGTTCCGGCAGAGGCTTCTGCTCCACAAACGGTGTCTCGGAAAAACCAACACAGCACGCAGAAATTGGGAACAAACATTAATGTAAACAAAGACGAACACTGTGTCTTATCTTCATTATCAGCGAGTACCGGAACGCCGGACGCAGACAACCGCAACTCACCAAAGCTGAGAAGGAGCAAACGGCTGGCGGCAGCTCGGTCTGCAGAGGTGACTGGAAAGATGCATCGAAACTCTCCGGATATGGATGATGCCAGCCGAAGAGTTGACGACTGTCAGGCGTTTGGCAATGGCAAGGGAAGACCGGTCAGGAAGAGAACGCGACGGCAGCTGGAGGAGGAGTGTGGAAGCGACGTGTGCAGTGACGATGATGAACCCGGTGGTCAGTTGCTGGGAGAGCCGACGACAGGTGAAGGTGGCAGCGATGATGAAGAGGACGATGACGATGATGACGATGATGGTGCAGATGGTGTGAAGGACGGTGGCGGTCAGAAACCAAGTGAAGGCGGAGGCGGTGAGAAGAAGAAGAATACATCGGCAATTAAATTGCATTTGTTGTCTAACCCCGTGTGTCGTGAAAGTTATGATGATTCTTGGTTCAGTGTTGTTCGTTCTGCAAGTAGTTTCAAGCAGTTGAAAGTTCTAGAAGCAGTCTACATTCGCATTCGTGATCCAAATCTTTGTAAACAAAAAGAAAATGTCACCGCACTTACGCTATTCCAGTAAATTCGCACTCGCACACACTTACACATGCATGTCCATTGTCACACTGCACTTGCTGAATTTCCTATCATTTCTCACCTCACCTATAGTTTATTACCTGTGCAAATTGTTCCTAGGTTTGTGCTATTTTTCTTACTATGCTTGTATCCTCGCTGTTCCACTGCAAGTGTATAAATCCTATTGTAGTTTCATCATTCTCTTTAGTCACGAATTCCATTGATAATTGTGACAAGAAAACGTTCTGGAATACATGATTCGTCCCCATGGTTGTGATATGAGTGCGCATTTAGTTATATTCATTGCATTATTAAGATTATTGTCTCCACGTCGCCTTTTTAAATAATAATAATAATAATAATAATAGCTTCAACACATCTCCGTAGCGCTAACCGACAGCCTTCCAACTTAGAACCGCTTTGTCAAATCGCCTACTGGTCTTGTCATCGTCCAGTGACAATCGACATTCTTTGTTCCGTTGGGACTGTAGCTTGTGCTCGTTTTCGTTGCGCTTGCCTTCCCCTCTTTAATAATAATAATAATAATAACTAATAATAGCACCTCTTGATCCTGGTTACAATGGTCCTTTGAGGCAGGTGATCGCCTTCACAGGTTTTGCTGTAATAATAAACGTATCGGGAGTACACTGCAGGCTCTCTTCTTACCTGCCCAGTTACGATGTCATGTCTATTCGGTACTCTTCGTAGTTGTACTTCTGTCCTGTTGAGCTATCCGAATTCAAATAAACCAACAAAAAATGTATGTGTGTTCGTGGGTCTCGGTCTGCATAGCATCGTCCAGCTATCGAGCTCTGGAAGGTGACCGTTGTGGAAAGCCAGATCCAGACCAGTTTAACGGCTGTTTGTTTAGTGTCGTTGAAAAGTACCCACAGCTTTGTGTTATCTATTCCGGATTAAGCTTAGGGTTTTTATGATAAGAATGTGTGGTTTTTGGCTATACAAAAGGCTGTATGTAGTACATGGGCAAATAAAGTGATGTTAGCGAAAGAGATCCAGGTCGCGGATTTTGCACTTTTCGTGGGATTTCAGTGAGTGTAGCCATACATCTTAATGTTGACTGCTGTGAATTTATACTTTGGTTGTTGTGTTCCTATGTCCACTAGTCGCCTGCTTTGTACCTGCCATTGCTAATGGAGGCACTTACTATACATTTATCCTTAAGGATGACCAGCTGACGTACACCTGTAATACAGGTTTTTCACGTCCACCCAGTATAGACACAACATGTCTGGCTAACGGAACACTACGCGAAGCTCCATCATGTAAGCTTGTAAAGTCTGTACATAGTGCAAACAGTTCAATGTGTTTGTACTCTTTGCAAACATTTCTACTGACTTTGCATGGCAGGCCTGAGGAGTTGCCTGATGATGAACAAAGCATTAATGCAAGTTTATGTACAATTGTATGTATTCGAAAACGAGTGCCCGGCACAATGAGTAGAACACGATAATTGTGATTTTGGAAATAGAACTGTACTTTTAACCATATATCCGGTGTTTTGGTGATAAACACTTTCTGCTGTCTTTACAGCAATACGTCCAATATTGTATTTATATGCATATAATTTATTTTACATCGCAAAGCAAACGGATGTGATGGTCCCTGTAGTAGCGTCACTAATTCAGAAAAAGACAGATAACTGCCCTTCAGCACACAGTTGTCACACAAGCCCCAAACCTTTTTGGCGGATATAGGGCCGAAACAGGATCAATGAGCATGCTTGCACGTGCAAGTGAGAAGTTGCACATCAATTGGACTTCATATTATGCAGTCAATTGTTGTACTTGGCAGGGTCAGGTCAGGAAACATCTTGACTGTATGATATGCCTGTTCTTCTACTACTGGAGAAGGAGGAGAGACCGAATGTGCGCAATATTACTTTTTATTATTTTCCATGGCGACCCCCGTAAGCCCCCATAACTGGCAGGGCGGGGTTGGGCCTTTTTTCACATATTCTCGTGATATAGAGTTACATATTGCGAAAGAGGTGTCAGAACCGACGCAGAGTGAATTAGTTGAACACAAACAACTCTCCATAGAGGGATTACCCGTACACCGGTACAGGTAAACCACGCATACACCGGTATGTTTATACGAGTAGGCAAGCATAGTCAAGTTGCACACTCTTGGGGGTTAGGTACGCTTGGAGTGGGACTCAGTGTGGAATTTGGCACCCCCCCCCCCCTCCCCCTCTCCCTTCCTCCCCCCCCCCCCCCGCCCTCCTCCCCAGCCCAAAACAACTTCCTGCCCTACTGCTTAATGTCAGCAAGTATTCACTAGCATGTGGATTATCTGGCTCTCTTGTCTTCATCCATGTCTGTCCATACCTGCCAAATACAGGTAACCTAATCTGCACCCGTGTCTCAGATGATCAAACTAGGACACAAGTCATAATTCAAGCTGTTTCACCCAACAAGGTGTCTTACGAGGTTGCAAAAGGGATGTGCGCCAACAAACAAATGCAACTATTGGCTTCAGAGCTCAGCTGGTGTGCGACAACTAACGGTGCTAGTCCCTATAGGGGTTACGAAGCATGGCTAAAGTATGACTCACCGTACCAAAGTATTGTATCCAACAAGGGTTTTATTTCAAAGAATCCTGCAGACCTATATCGCGCTATTTGCTTTACAAGTAAGTGCATTAGACAGTGACCTGTAATTTCGCAAGTTGCATAATATGCTGCTAAACCAGAGGAGCAGAATGAGACAGGCATACTCTGCTTTAAAGACAACCAAAAGTACCAAGGGGAATGGACATAGGCCAATTTCGATGAATCGACGTTTCAATATTATTTCATGAACTTTGAAACCCTTCTGTAGGCTGTCATTTTCAGTACACCCAACTCGCAACACACGCACAATCATTGGCTACACCGCGTACAATGAATTTTCGGAATTTTCACCCAGGAAAGCATCATCAGGGATATAGGAGAAGAATGATACAACGTTGGCTGTTATAATAAAAGACAGTACAGGGACAGTCACATAATTCATAATAATTGCGATGCGCACGCCACTACATGTAATAAGCAACAAGTTAAAAGCTAGCACTAAGTCAGAACAATGCAAGTGAGTATTTCATCAAGTGAAAGGTGGGCGTGAGACAGCCATGATTGAGTTGAGGTGTGTGTACATTGTTTTCGCATCGTCTCCATCGCGATGTGACTTCAGCTCCTCCTCCTTAATGCAATATAAAAATCGTGATGAATGAAAATTATGTTGCGAATGTCACGAACGTCACTACTGTAAATCTAGAGCATTCACAATACCACCAGGTAATTCTAGTATTATGGAAAAAAAAGAACTTATAAGTTTTACTTCCTCCGCGTCATTAAAATTGTCGCTTCCCAGAGTGATTTTTCGAAAATTATGTTGTCCACTTGGAGGGCATAGAAAACAGCTAGAAATTGAGGCAGAGCATTGTTGACGGGCCAAGCTTTTGTTTTTTGACCCCGCTTCGCTGCACTTGCAGCTAAGGTCGACGTCTTCATCAGAGTTTGAGGCAGACCCTTCAGCACTCAACAATACGCTGAACAAGACCTGCGTTCAAATTCAGGTCAAGAAAGTTCGTTTTCAGGCGATCCATGCTTCCAGGTGCCAGGCGATGAAGGCAAGCTAGCATTTTTCAAGTACACTGTAACGACCTTCCAGCGGGACAGGGTAAGCAGTTCCGCACTTTCTTTCCTTGGCAAGCGCTTCGCTGATTTTGTTGGTGTTTTCAGACCTGCTACCTTCGCAGCAACATGCGCCACAAGTAGCGCATTTTAGGAATTTGAGACCTCTTTGTTCTTGCCATCGCCAACTTCAGCAATTTGTATTCAGGAGAGATACCAGCATTCTTATACCCGACGAGCTTGCAGTCTTGCCAAATGCCCAGGCGAACGATGTGGGACGGCACGAACTCCAGAAAACGAAATGCGCTCTGGGGCGGAATAGTGCGGAGCGCGATGAATTCGCTTGGTGCGGAAGAGAGCTCCGACAAAGTTCGAGACCACCACGGCTTCAGTGACAAGTAGACATTGCGCAGGAAGGGTCACACCAGTGTTCAAATACAGAAAACAACGATTCCGAAAGTCTGACTAAGACGAGCCAAGTCACAAATATTGCGATGCGCGAAGCGACAATTTTAATGATGCGGAGGAAGTAGGAGATTAGAGGCCACATGCCACGTACTGCTCCTTTCTCTCCGAAACTCAACACTTGCAAGCCAGATATGAAAGAAAGAAAAATCATCAGTCACACTACCGGGACTCAAACCAGGGACCTTGCTTTTTTTCTTTTTTTTCTTTCTTCATATCTGGCTTGCAAGTGTTGAGTTTCGGAGAGAAAAGAGCAGTACGTGGCATGTGGCATCTAATTTCCTAAAACTTTGAAATTCTCCGTGAAGTTCAAATTTGAAATTGCAAGGTAATACGATGATAAACAGTAAGACAGTGTGACAACAAGGGACAAAACTGACGAGGATTTTGAGAAACACGATGTCGGAGTCGTGGTGACGCCTGGTACCGTTCAGGTTTCAACAGGTCACATTACAGGACTGCACTTTGCGTGCATTCATCGAGCACTACACCTGTAGCCATGCATGACTGCCTCAAGCTCCATACATGTGCATGACTCATACCATAATACGATAAGGTCAAGTGTCTGACCGCCAACACGTACTCATTAGACTACGTCACGCATTCACCATTGACAGTGTTGCTTGTACTCCCTATACACATCGACGCTTGCTTATACATGTAGCTGTGTATTCTTTGTTCTACAGTCAGTTCTAGCTAGGTTCTTGATAGGTTTTGCTAGGGCATTGTTAGAGTGCATCCAAGATAATCCAAGATGGAGTTGGTGTTTTGAGAGTGAGAACTCGAACCAGTAAAGTTTGTCTCCATTGTTGAACGTGGGTTCGGAAAGTATCCGCAGTCGGTATTACAGTTACGGTACTGATGCAACCTGGTTCCGGGGAATACGGAACATAGTGGTCCTTCGAGCCGGATCACGTCCACGATGGAGAAGCTCAGGCGGAGTCAGCGCACGACGAAAGGCGTCGCAGCGCCAAAACTCGGGTACACAGACACCCAGTCCTACGCTGGTGCTAGTGGTGGAGATGACAGGATGACCGAAAGTAGGAGCCAAGCCGTCACCGCGAATTCAGCTGACAGGCTCAGCGCCAGGATAGCCGTGTTACAAGCGGAACAGGCTGTGGCGGAAAAGCGGCTGGAAATCGCCCGGTTGACGGAGCAGACGATGTCGGAAGCCGAAGGGACGTTGAGGGAAAGGTCCGTTGAGACCTCCAGCTCTCCTGCGATGCGAGAAGAAGTCTTCCAGGAAGCGGGTGAGTTGCATGAGGCGGTTGCAGCCCAAGATACGTCGCTTATCGACTTTGACGATGATGTAGTTGCACCTAGTTCAGTTGCTGTTCCAACACCAACAGAGTCACACACGGTAGTCTGTGTAGAATCTCAGCCATCAGAAGGAGAATCTTCCCATAGATCTACGCACGTAACGTCAGAATCAGCAGTAGGTCTACACCATGCAGAGGCCTGTCAGGCTAGCACACCACCACCGCCGGTAGACGTAGTGATAGACGCACATGTAGAGAGGGACTCAGATGTCCAGCATGTCCGTGCATTCACTCCGGCACACAGCTACCACTACCAGGCACCGCCATGCGTAGTCCAAGATCCGATTCATGAACACCTGAATGAACCTCCGTTTCATCAACCAGAACCGCAGGCACAGGCACAGACACAGGTGCTTCAAAGAACGATTGAACACACCACTGCTGTTGTAGCCGATGCCACTTACGCTGACTATCTAAGCGAGTCCATTCAGCGGGGAATAGGGCCCGAGCCCTGGGATAGGACATTCGTAGAGCGTCAGCAACTGCCGAGATCCAGTACTGGCAGTAGTCTACGCAGTGTAGAACGTGAGTACCCGGGCCAGGGAAGTTGCGTATCAGCAGCAACTACTACAGCTTCAGACGATGATCGATGAATCCGCGATCGTCGAGAAGCGGCGCCAGCGAGACGCTTACGCACTGCAGACGAACCTAGAGGAAGCTGAGGCGAGTAGGGCAATGGTCGAGCTAGCGTGCGACAAGCAAGCCAGGGATCTTGCGGCAGAACGAGAACGCAACGGTGAGCTGGCCCGATCGATGACAGAGCTGAGGCAGCGGCTATTCGCAGCGGAGTATGCCCTACGAGAAAGCCGTGCCAGACAACGACGAGCGCCGAAGTCTGGTAGTGTCACTGAGTCTGTTAGAGAAGTACAAGGCTTACCGGTAGTGCAACCACAGCCTGCACAGGTCCACGAGGAGAGACGTGAGCGCTGCGAGTCGACCGCAAGCACAAGGCATAGCGGTATCCCGAGCACTACGTCACCCAGTCACCCACACGCATCCATGCCAGTACCCGCACCACGAAAGCACCGTCGCGACACGAGTGCACGTGCACGCGGCTACATGACAGTCTCAGACTCCGACTCAGAGTCAGGGCCACGTGGATACTCTAGTGCCAGAGCTACGGAGACGTGTACCGGTGGTAAGGGCGCAGCAAGTAATGCGAGTGAGGTCGAAGACGCGTACATGAGTGGTTGTACCTCTACTACCGGTACTATTACTGGCAGCACAGTTAACAGCAATCCTGCGCGTCAGATGGCAGACCTGGCCAGTGAGTTTGTAGGTGCAATCACCCAGGCCCTACGTCAAGGGCAGACCTCCCAGGTCGAGAATAGTAACGCTGGCATCAGACAGCTGGCTGCACGCCAGTCATCCACCAGCAGCAAGCTGCCAATCTTCTCTGGCAAGCCGGAGGAATGGCCCGCGTTCCTCGCGCTGTACCGAAGCAGCACGGAGCAATGCGCATACTCAAACGCAGAGAACGTCCAGCGCCTGCAGACCTGCCTGAAGGGACCAGCCCAGGAGGCAGTACAGCTGCTCCTGGCCGTGCCAGACAATGTAGACGAGGCCATCCGGACACTGGAGCGTCGTTTCGGCCGGCCGGAATTGGTAGTGAAACAGCTAATCGAGCAGGCCAAGGCGCTGAAGCCAGCCAGAGCAGAGGACACGGACGCCCTGCACTCCTTGGCCACATCTGTGAGGAACATCGTCCTCACTATGAAGCTGCTAAAGAGCCATGGCCACAGGAACAACCCTGGGCTCCGTGATGAGCTGGTGGCCAAGCTGTCGCTCCCCCATCGAATGCAGTGGGGCGAGTATGTGAAGGCCAAGGGCCTTAGTACGGATGAACTAGACCTTGGTGTCTTGTCTGAGTGGTTGGCCGAACGAGCGGAAGCCGCCTCTCTGGTGACACCAACCTCCACCAAGACGGCCGCCGTTCAGCCAACCCCACCGCCTAGAAGGTCAACGACCCTGGGCGCAGTAACAGCGGGCACTACCCGCGACGCCACCTCTGACTCCCCAAGGAAGAAGAAAAGCTGCAGGAAGTGCATGGAAGAGCACGCAATGGCGCAGTGCAAGGAGTTCCAACAGCTACCCGTCCAGAAGCGATCAGAGCTGGTGCGCCTCTTGGGCCTGTGTGTGAACTGTCTACAGGACGGCCACTTCGCCAGAAATTGCACCTCGAGCCACTGCAGGAAGTGCAAAGGCAAGCACAACACGCTGCTCCACAGGGACGA